GCGAATATGATACATTGAATTCTGCTGAGTACTGAGTTACGTCGATGTTATCATGATGCGAATAAAAAATAGTGAAGAGGGTCTCTCTATTATCGCGGTTTCGAAGGACGTGATTATCATAAAGAAATTATTCTTTCATGCGACGAAAACGTGAAAGTCGCAGCACTCGCTGTGATCGCAAAATATTTTTCCTTATTAAGAGACTCATCTGTTACATCAATTATATATTCTTCAGCATAGCTTCTCTTACCGTAATTTGCCTATCTTAATAGAAAATGCCGTTAATCATAAGACATCTTATATGCATACGTATGACGTATTATCTTAAGATCATATCAAGCAATATAACGTCTCAAAGATACAGCTGTACAATTCTTGCTACTTGTGAGTGAAATAATTGAAGACAAGGACCGCCTCGGAGTCCGGCCAATCAAATCAGGATTACCTTGATCCACGACCTCCCGTGGACACATTTGTGCCTCTTAATTGGAGGAATTCGTTGTCGTTGACTGGAATAGTACCAAACTCCAGTCTCTCCCTTGTATAACGAACTGGTGTCAAACGGCGGCAATTGCAAAATGGTCACAATTGGCATCAATTGAACGCGCCAGCGAGCATTCATGTGACGCAAATTGTATTTCGATACGTCAGATGGCTATATTTACATATCATTCTTGATTAGTCACAATTTGCAATTTGCGAGCGGCGACTAATTCTAAAGAAATCGGACAGTAGCTTGTCTCATTTTTCTCAACGTTCTCCGCGTGCGAGAAGAGTTACATTGTAACGTTTTCCTTTTACAGATGGCAAGACTGTGGCCGATGGTTCACGTCTCTAGAGCAGCTTGCGGGACACGTTGGAAGATTGCACGCGGCGCCTGGTCCGCGGGGTCTTTTTTATTGCGGATGGGAGGGATGCGCGAGAGGCGAGCGTGGATTTAATGCGAGGTAAAAAAAACTTCTTCAGATATAGTAATGTACACGTGTAATATAAAAATCACTTTTCCATTCTTGACGTATACTCGTCGTGTTTCTCTCGTATACAGATATAAGATGCTCGTCCATGTACGGACGCATACGAACGAGAAGCCGCACCATTGCTTCCAGTGTGACAAGAGTTTCAGCAGAGCCGAGAATCTGAAGATACACGCTCGCTCTCACACTGGCGAACGTCCCTATGTCTGTCCTGTCGAGGGTTGCAACAAGGCCTACTCGAACTCCTCGGATAGATTCAAACACACTAGAACCCATGCCGTAGATAAGCCGTATTACTGTAAAGTGCCAGGCTGTCCAAAGAGGTACACCGATCCGTCGTCATTGAGGAAACACGTTAAAACCTATCGCCATTATGTGAACAACAACGATAAAGTCCAAGAAATAAAGTCCGAAAGAGACTTCGATGATAATAATGCTCAGGAGAAGAGGTTTGATGTTAACTCTCCCGATAAACAGAGCATCAGCGCGCATTCCGAGTCAGATAAGAAGGATTCGAGCATCGAGAGCAGCATGTCGGGTTGTAGTCCGAAAACTAGCAACAGCTTCGAGGAGCAGAGGAATTTCGTCGAGTGGAACAACATGTATAATCTTCAGGATCAACCAAAAGAACAGGAACAAGTCACACCGCCGAAACCGTATGAACAGGATGTGAAAAATTATCCGAGGATGTACGATGATAATTACTTCACTCCAGACAGGATCCGAGTGAATCCTATGTATGCCTCCGGTAGTAACATCATCAAGGACTACTCCTTAGCGTCGCCGCCTCATACGAGTCCTGGTCGAGTATCTGATTCGATGCCACGCTTCGGGATGCAATCGACTCCCATTAAAACCGAGGAACCAATGGAGTACAGCGTCACCAAAACTAGCACGGTTGATTACAGGAACATTGAATCAATCGTCAACAGCACGCCCTGCAAGAAAGAAAACATCGTCAATTGCGATCCAATAAGGCATTCAGTGATCATGCGAGCGGAGGATCTGAAGATGGAGGTTGAGCAGACGCCGCTCAAGGAGGAAACGAAGGGCACCAATAACGATTGTTGTTGTCGGCACAAATGTTGCGTGCATAGTAACGACAGCATTTTACAAAAGACGAAAATCCTCTCAGATCTCATTCTCAAGACGCAGAATCCACTCTTTCGGCATCTGTTAGACTCGGTGGATTTGCAGTACGGCTTGGAGACCATGTGGAGCAACATCGTAGATAGCAGCAACACGTGCGGCCAAGATCTCAGGATAAAAAACGAGAATGTTACTGAAATAGAACAAGATCTACCATTGGATTTGACGATCAACAAGTAACAAGCAATCAGCTGTTGACATACCAAAAAGCTCGTAGTCGCCAATACGAATTTTATCTTCTTCATTGTTTGACAAAATGCAAATTAAACGAAACACCATGAATTTTAAATGTGTCGGATCAATGCAATGATAATTAATAATTAATAATTAATTTATCATTGGAATAAAAATTTTCAATTATAGATTGCAAAACCAAATATGTTTTAACATCTCTCCTGATGAGATAGAAGCAATTAAAGACCGAACAAGAATTTGCTCAACCCGTTTAAATAGTTTATCTAGAAACAGTTGCATTAATTAAATTGTTAATCAGAAATAATCAGACTAACTTATAGATGCAACTTGATAATTTTGTAATTAATCTATTTGATTAATTATTTGAAGACGGCATTCCGCTTTTAAATTGGCTACTAAAACCGCAAGTGGCCGAAATAACAATGAAAATTAAATTAGGATTTTTCTTTAAGGTTGTAAATATATTTGAAAAGTATACACAGAAATGTGGTATAATTGACTCTTGCCCAATAATTTATCTATTAGAATTAAATTTCAAAAACTAGTTTTTATAGTAAGACGCGCTTAACAATCGTATTTCAGTACTTTATGTAAACAAAACATATGTATCATATGTATATAAAAAGTATATATATGTGTATGTGTGGCGAGTCAATTGATAATATGGAATAAAATGCTTTTTCCTGTTAAGCAGAACATGTTTAATGATATGAATTAAATAAAACAAAATTATTTAAATATTGCTTACTTTCTTCCCTTTATGGAAAATGACCTGCGTATTTAATCATGATTGATATAGTTAAAATAAATATAATATATTATAAACATATATATTATATACATAATATATCATAAACATATGTTATATTATAAACACATTTGTAAATTTTGTAAGTGTAAAAAGCTTGTTATGTATTATAAGACTATAATCTACAATATTAATTGATTAGATTCATCAGTCATTCATCAATCAGTCAATAAAGTTCGGACAATTCCAAAATATAAAAATTTAGATGACATGAATTTATTAGAAAGACATTTGTAGATATGATGTCGTTGAAACATTTTTAGACATAAATGTCTAAGCAAAAATTTTATCGTCAAAATATATAATATTTTATCATAAATACATTTATATTTGTAGGAGTCTTTGTAAACTAAAATAATGAATTAATAAATCATGCGTTTTTTAAAAATTAATTTTTTGGGGATTTATATCAACGATTGAGAATTTTACCAATACCAATAGTCCATAAAGTCTTCAATTATTACTCGATCGCTAGCTCTGTTGATAATCACGAAAATTTGTCTGATATGAAGCACTATTCTTGCAACCAGAGAGAAGCTGAGAGCAGCCATCCCGATCCATAGACATAGTATACCTAGATCTAGAGACACTACACAATCATTGTAGTGTCTCTAAGTCTGGATCCTCATGCAGACACCGGCACTTTGACACCGAGCGTTGATTGGTGAAAAACGGATAATGGGGATAAATAGTAAAGATTCATTCGCAGTTTTATCCCCACTATTCATTTTTCACCAATCAGAATCTGTGTCAAAGCGCTGGTGTCTGCATGAGGATTCAGGCTAAGACTACCTAAAACGCGGCCATGATCACTCTCAGGCTTCTCTCTGGTAGAAACATTCCCTCTTTAGTTTTATTCATCTTATGACGAAAATGCAACCTAACCTAATGGTAACTTCCCGACTGTTTGTCGTCAGGTTGTATTTTAATTTACAAATGTACTAGTGCGAGTATATTTTTAAAGCAATGGCAAATGATCGGGAGGTACTGCGAGAAATTTGGGATGGAAAGATCCCAGTCTGTTTTACTCTCAATTCTGAAGAAATTTGTGATTTACAAGGACCCGACCCATTTTATCTGATGGTGCCTAGATTAAGTTATTTTCCACTATGTACAGAGAAGGTAATAAATTTTTGCACATTATTTGAACAGAATTTTATTGCTATAGCTTAACAAATATTGCGAATAATAGGTAGACTAAATAATTTTGTCTATAATGTTGTTTTGATGTTTAGGTTCGGAAACACTTTATACGACACATACAGAGTGACAGTAAACAGGAGCATGAAATGTGGTTGGAATTTAATGGAATGCCATTAAAATGGCATTATCCAATTGGTGTTTTACTGGACATTTATTTCAATGACATCCAATTGCCTTGGAACATTGTTGTTCACTTTGACAAGTTTCCAGAGAATGTTCTAATGCATTGTCAAAACAAGTATGTAATAAATTATACTATATGTATAAATTATAATTATAAATTATGAAACGCTAGTATAATGGGTGATATAAATGCAATTTTATATGATTTTAGAGAAGTTGTAGAGGCACATTTTCTTTCTTGCATTAAAGAAGCTGACGTTTTAAAGCATAGGGCCCAAATTGTCTCTAGTATGCAGAAAAAGGATCATACACAGTTGTGGAATGGTATAATGAATGACAAATTTGATCAGTTCTGGTCTGTAAATGGAAGACTTATGGAAACTAGTACTGAAGAGGGATTTAAATACATACCTTTTCGCTGTTATACAAGTGAAGATAAATATATACAAAAACTTGTAAAACCAATGAATGAAGAAGGCCAAAGAAAAACTTTGAAGCATTTGTTAAATGAAATATTTCCAGATCAAGAAAATGGTATATAACGTTACATAAATTTTTTAAAGAGATGTTATGTACATGTTTATTTAGTGAATTGAATTGATTGACTAACAATTAACAATTTTATAGTTACAGTGCGCACCCATGGCATTGTACCACCATTAGAGACGCCGCTTCAGTGGATGTCAGAGCATTTAAGTTATCCGGATAACTTCTTACATTTAATTGTAATTACATCATAACGTCTAACGAAAAACAGATAATGTCATTATCACAAGTGATAAAATAATTTTTCTGTGATTGTTATGTACAATACTTTTTGTTATGTATGTTTTGTGCTGTATTTATTATACAATAATCTTTTCTTATAAAAAAATCTAACAAAACCGAAGATTCGGTCTATTGGTAGAATGAAAAAAAAAAATAGATAAAAATCGTTGTTTATTAAATACTTACGACAAAATTCTCTCAAATGCTGTATATAAAATGATTTGTATAAACTGAATCGCAAGCTATTTTCGTTGAAGGCATTTTTAAAAAATTTTTTTATTGACACTACATGCGACATGAGATATCGCAGGATTTCTAGAGAGATGGAAGAACTTTATTTTTAAACTTTACGGTTTTGGATACATTAATCGACGCAATTTTTTAATTCTTTACAAAATACTATTATAAAATTATACATAGAAATTATTAATTTAAAAGTTATTTTATACTGGAAAAGATAAAATTGACTTTGCAATCTTTATTCTTTTATTCAAAAAGTAAATTTGTTTAACATACAATGTTCCTTGTGTGAAACTTTTAGTATAATTATTTTTTATATGATCTTAAATTTTGCAAATAATCATATCATTTGCTTTATATAAGTCACTCTGTATGGTTACAGCACTTGAGAGGATATAAATTTTTAGATCAACATCATAATGTTAACAAGGATAACTAAATTTATTAAACTAATAATTTATTAAACTAATAATTGTAACATTTTGTATTCATTAAGTTATCGCGCATCTTTCATCTGATTTAAAATATTCTTTTGACATCCGTAAGGATAAATGACTATTCTGTGTAATCACAGAATCTGTAGATTTATGTATAATAACGGGATGATTTCCGTTTCTGCTATATTCCATTGTCCTGCGACTGTTTCCAAAACTAAGATAGCTCACAACTTCCTTCTTTCTGCTTTGTTCCTCCTGCAATTTAAAAAGTCCTCGATTGATTTCGTTCGATTTAAAATTCGATTTAAAATTTTTTCTTACCTTAAATATAATCAGCGCGGTATCTTGATATCTCTTGTGAATTTCTTCCTTACTTAAAACAATGATCACCTCTGGAGATTCATAATGCGCAGTCATTTATGTATTATGTCGTATAATTTTGTTCGCACATTTAACGTGTGTACTTTCTCCACGACGTTTATCGCCTTTTTACATCTGTAATTATAAATCCGATTCACAGTAGTTTTTCGAATCCGATATTCCTTTCTTGAGACATTTTTAAATACAAATAATTTCAATAGATGAGTCGGAAGAGATAAATCCTGTATTTATCGTAATAATGTACAAGTAAGAATAATGTAAAAGTGACAAAGACAAAACACTGAGGAGGAAGGAACTGAAGAGAAAAAGAAGACAAAGATCTCGCTAAGATAAAACTATGTATGGATTAAATCTTTCGCAAACGGTGATTTTTCTCATTGTTGCAGAAATTACGACGAGTAATTCTCTCCGAGATTTCCTTTCTTTTTTCCTCCTTGCCGCGCGAGACATCGAGAAACACCACGTACCAAAGAGGCAGGCTTTCGGAGTGCGAGTTGCACTTTATAATTAGCAACCATCGCGAAAATGATCATCTCTCCCGCTTGAATGTTACGCGCCTGAAGGTCTCTTAGATCAAATGTTACGTTGCGGATTATATTCTTGTCTCTTCGGTCTGCCTCGTCTCGATTGATATATCTTTATCGTCACATATCGACTTGCAATTACGCTATATAATCTCAACCCTCAATCATCAGTAGTTCAATCCCGACTAATCGCGGTGACATTCAATTCCGAGCTCAAAAAAAACCAATATATCGCTTTTGTATCGATAAGTCGCGATGCAATTCAAAGTTCCTCCGATCATTAATTTATCGTTAATTTATTTTAACGAAAAATATCTCGTTGTAACGAGACGACAAGTAACAATGGTACGAATTGAAAAATGTAAATCTACTCTACATAGTTTGCCAATAAATAAAGCAGAGAGCGTTTATCTATCGGAGCGGTGCTAAGAAGGGAAGCTCTAATACATCATTCGAGCCTTATCTTTAATCTACAAAACGGAGGAGAGAGAACGAGAACACTTTACGTGGGACATAGAAACTGTGGCCGTCAGGTATCGCGATTGCTAAGAGATGAAGGAATAATAATAGTATTTGGCAAATAGCACGTTATTCGACTAGGTTCGGTCGCGACGCTGGCTCGTTATTTCACGGGAACATTTCCGATTTCTCATTTTGATACATTTCCCTTTGCCAGTTGTCTACCTCACCTCACCTGCCGCGACGTGATTTAACGTACAAAAATCAACGATCCGCAGTGGGGACGACACGACTGAAAGGAATAATCGCCGAAAGTTCAGACTTTTGTCTGCCCGTTGCGCTGGTTGTCTGTTCCGCAAACAGAACTCGTCGGGGAGCCATGTCGGCTCTCGGACGACGTTGGAGCAACGCCAGAAATCTTTTCGGTGTGCTTTTGTATTTCCGGTCGGAGAATGGACCGAGACGATGGTCCCGATTCTCGGGAGCGCGGCTGAGTACCTGCCACACAGATTTGCCTTCCTATTGTATCCCTAACGCTTTTCGAAACGTCATCGATCGGAGACTTCATCGGAGACTTGAATTTGGAAACTGACCGAATATATATGTATATTGAGCGGCATCAGATATACGGAGATCGTTAAATCACGGGAGGGAGCTCGATCGGCGTCGATCGTCGCAAATTGATCTTCATAACATACAGTCGGACTGTTACATTCCGTCGGAGTCATTTTTTTTTTATCGTGCCACTGCACCCTTCCTAATTGCATTGCACCAGCCGGTGGCATTTATTGGCGTTGATTGGTGCGTTGCAACAGTCATGGGCTTCGATTCAAGGTTCTGCTCAGCGTACACGCGGTGGTTATAATAAAAACAGCTAATATTCTTATTATCGCGATGTAACCACGACAGTACGGCAGGCAAATCCTCTTAAGAAATGCAATTGATTTCCCTTTTCAAATCGAATTGTATATGTCGCCCATAATCAGAGTTGGATAAATTAATACTATTTATTTTTTAATTAAATTAAGTTAAAGTTAATCGCCTATAAAATTAATTTAATTGCGTTACATAAACAAAAAACTAACTCAGTTAAAACTTGCGTTAAAATTAAATTAAACAATTAACTTGCGTTATAAGTTAAATTAAAAGTTAATTTTAAAAAGCATTATTTATATTAAATTAGAACGTCGCGATTTTTTTTTAAATTAAAATATTCTAGACAACAATTACAATATAAATAAAATAAATTTAATATTTTATTTGTAAATTAAATTATATAAAATAACAAAGAAATATTGTTTCCTTTATGGGAGTGATAATAATATTCATAAAAATTTTGTGAAAATTCTTATAAACAATCATAATGAATTCTTTATTATGCAACAAAAACTTCGAGATATATGCATATATATAATTAAAATGTTAAAATAGCGAGCTATGAAATTAATCTTAAATTTTCATCTTTTTCATTGTCGTATGCGATAACGATTGCTCAATCCACTCAGGTGTCATTGGCACCAAGTCATTTACATTGCAAAACGACTGAGAAATTTTTTTATTATTATAATTGCTAACTCGTTCAAGTCTTATCGTACATGAATATTTACGGAAATATTTTTCATTAAAAAAATCATTAACCAAAGTGCTCAACGCATATATCATATTATTATAATAAACTACGAATATAAAATTGGAATTAATAATTAGAAAGTAACATTCATTAATAATCCTTTATTTTATTCATATAATTAAAAATAAATTTATAAATATTTTATTACTTTCTTACTGAATGATATTTATTGATTAATCATCATTACCATTAGCTGCGGAGAATCGGCATAGAGGATATGAAAACATATATGTCATTCATTCTATATTTTCCTTTCCTTTTAATAGTAAGCGTTTTATTCCCTGTTACCGGACTCGCAATGATAAACATCGGCAATAAATCATACATTTGCATAGCAGGAATTCACCGTGCGGTATGCATTCTACAGCGTTGCTCGCGAGAGATTTGAAAATCTGCATACAGGACAGACGTAATACAAATTCTATATACGCATATATAATTCTCCAACAAAAAAAAAATATAATATATATATATATATATAAAAGATAAAATTTTTTTGGCAAGATCAAACATCTATAGGTAGAAATTGACACGGTTACGTGAGTCCAAACAGCGGGAAATGCGGGAGACAAGCAAAGCAAACGTGAGCGAGGAGCATTCTCCTTGCAAGGCTCACACGTGCGACACGCGTGCCCGTGTACGTGCGTGTGCGCGTGCGCGTGCGTGCGCCGCCGCGTTACGCGTTACGAGCGTCCGATGCGTTCCTGGAGAGCCGAACGCGCGAGGCCGCGGTTGCGCGAGCTGCCAATCCAATCGGGCGCGATAATGGAAAACAATGCAATCGGCGCAGGGTATCGGTGCACGGGTACCAGACCGATGTGCGTGAGGCTCTATGACTTGGCTCGCGCTTATCTCGCATCGCGCCTCTAATCCGCGCGGCGGGGCGAGATATCGGAGCGAGTGAGGCGAGCAGAGCGAGCAGAGCGAGCGAGCGCGTTCCTCTTTAGGAACGCAGTCCGTAAACCCGCAAATTACTTCGCGTAAGTCGTGCGCGAAATTACGTAAATCGTTAATTGCGAGAGGAGCGCGATTCCATCTTGTCGTGTCTCTCTTACTTCTCGAGAACTCGAGATTCCCCCCCCCCCTCCCTCCCGCGCAACCAGGCGCAACTGCTGGAAACGTAGAATTTGTACCAGAAATATATGTCTTTTCGAAACAAATCTCGTTAATTAGGGATATGGAAAAATCAGCGTTTCCCTCTGTGACGTACGAATTATCGCTTCAAATCGGAAAGATGTATGCGAATTAAAACGTTTGTAAAGCAAAATTGATTTAACTTGGAATAGATCCTCACTCAGATGGCCTTGATACCATGAGATAGAAATTGACGTAGTGTGTTTATTTCCATATTACGATAAAAATAATTTCGAGTGCGAAAGGTTAAAGCGGCGATAATGGCAAAATTTAATTTAATGGTGATGTTACGAAATTTTTCGACTCGTCATCGCTTGCCGTTTCATGATCCAAGCGGAAATGCTTGAATCGATGTAACGAGAGAATGGAACTTTTCTCTCCCATACTGCGTCACGCGTAACCACTGAAATGCTCGACAGAGAGATAAGTGCTTGTAAGGTTTGTAGAATCGCGTGAGACAGACCTCGTGAATCATATCAGTAGAAGAAAGAGCTGTTGCGTCAAATGCAATATACTTTCTTTAAACCATTCCGATAAAATCGTGTCTTCTTAGGTAAAAAAAAAAACAATGTGTACATACATGGCTTTTCAGAGTCCTTAGAACGGATTAATGAACACGTCTGGATGCAATAGACGCGTCACCTACAATATTAATTAAACGTTCGACATAAAATATTATTATACAATTTTTTAAATATCAAAAACTTTCATTATTGATCGCAATATTACCTTCACGTTTACAGAATAATCTTGAAGTAAATTAATTTGATTTACTTTCTCAGACAAAATTGGAAGGAACATATTTCATCGTTCATGTAAATTATTTTAATTAATTATTATATCATCAAGAATGATAAATCAATTGCGTGAATAAGCTGAAAAAATAAACAACAAGTAGGATAATAATGAGAGAGAGAGTGTCTTTTTTTTAAAATAATCTCTTATATTTTCTCTCAAATTCGTTAAAGATTCTATGTTATATAAAGCGTGTCAAAACATTGTGAGTACCAAAATGGACATTTCCGTTGTTTGGCGCGCTTTATATCATCTATAGGCATGTGTGTATATGATACAATATTTAATACAATTCTTGCGTTTCAGAACGTACAAAAAAAAAAGAATTTGTATCTCGATGCCTTTCTCTTGCACTCCTCGGACATTAAGATCATACATTTTCATTCTCGTTCTCCGATACTCTGCTGCGGATATTCACATACGTACACACGTACACACACACACACACACACACACACACACACACACACACACACACACACACACACACACACACACACACACACACACACACACACACACACACACACACACACACACACACACACACACACACACACACACACACACACACATTTCACGGTTACTCTTTTCTCTCTGTCTCTCTTCCGTTCGTTTCCTCTCGATAAATCACAATGACGGATATGGTTGTTTCGGACAAAACTCGATAATGAGGAAAAAAAACATGTAATAAAATAACATAAAATACAGAATTGATAACAGTATCGTGATCGTTTGCAACATGAAAATGCCGTTCAATTTTACTTTCGACTGTCATACGAACCGTCGAAGAAACCGTATGCTTTCTTCTTCTTTTTCCTTTTCTTTCTCAACGTTGGTCGAGTACGTGCCAATAAACGCAAGATAACGCGTTAGCGGTGATAAGCACCGGATAGTCGCGGAATCTTCGACCGTGCGAATTACGTCGATTGCACGCAAGAGTGTGACAAGAGAAATTCAAGTGTGCGACGTATGCGATCGGGAAGGCATAGAGATGACGACGCACGCAAAGTTAGACCAAATCTACCAAGTCTCGTTACGAGATCGATGAATCTTTACGTCATCGCGATACAATAGAGCAATAAATAAGGAATCGTTGAAATACTGATATTGCGCGTGAGGAGGGCACTGGCGTATCTATACACTAATTGCGTTTCCGCAATTGCGTTCGGATACAGTGCAATAAATATATACGCTTATCGGCGAGGAATACTTGGCGACACTTTTGGTTCTTGATTCCTCCTCGCGTCTGAACCTTAAGGCACGAGCAATTCGAAGGCACCGGGCGAATTTAGAGGCGCGTTTGTCGTTGTAAGTTGATCGTATCAAAATATAATTTTTCGATATATATAGTCAGATAAATTTATGTGTTTCTTCTAATACATATATATATATATCCGCTTTAAGATTTTCATGTATATACACATATATATAAATTTTTTTGTACACATATCATACGAACATTATGCTTACAACATATTTGTTAGTGTGTTGTATGGACTATAAAACGCGGGGGTTCGCCCACGAGACTTCCCCCTTTTTATGCACTTAAAAAATATTGCTTGTATACGCTTTATGCCTCTCGTTAACAGACTCTTGTGGGCTGCAGTGTGTACGTGACATACGTACACACACGTACACACACAACACACACACACACACACACACACACACACACACACACACACACACACACGCGAC